TAAGTTAATACCGAAACAGGCAGTAGTATTGGCAACTTACGAAACAATGAATAAATTAGAGCAATTTTCTGAGGATCATTGTTTTCTTAATAAATGGTGGTAAACCTAATTAAAAAGGAACAATGGTTCTACAAAGGGGAGGGGCGGTTCGGTAGCCTAGTGGTTAAAGCGTTCGCTCGTCACGCCAAAGACCCGGGTTCGATTCCCGACATGGGTCCAATGTGTGAAGCCCATTTCTTGTGACCCCCGCTGGAATATTGCTGAATGCGGCGTAAAACCATATTCACTCACTCTACAAAGTGGAAAGTCTTAAAACTTCCTTTTCTATAAGTATATGGGTGATTTTGGTGAAGCATTGGTGCAAGCACAAAAAGAACATGATAGGTATTTGTGAACAGATTTATACTCTTCGAAATATTATATTTGATATTATTTGATACCCGTAAATTTATTGATTTTTTTTTAAATTATCATTTTTAAGGAGAAGTTTACAAAAACAGACTTTGTCGACACTAAAGAACTTTCAATCAAAACAGATATTCCTTTTGGGTGCAATTATTGATAAGTTCATTACTTTGAACAAATCACTTCTGGAGGGATGATGTATTGAATATTTGGGGTAATTATTCCAAAAAACATAAAGTTTACATACAAAGTATTTGAACAGATCCTTTCAGAGCCAATATGGTTTAATCACCAATTTAAATATAATTTCATTTTAAAATATTGGTTTGATAAGGGAATACAGAGTTTAAAAGATGTATGTAACAACCACAGATTCTTAACATTTGAATAATTACAAGACAAATTTCAAATTAAAGGTGCTTTACCTGATTACACTAGAGTAATGCTAAATATCCCTCAATCATTGGAAAAAGTAATAAATTGTATGAACAATTTATCACAGCTTATTTATACATGAATACCATTTTGGGAGACTAGTTGACAATAACAAAGGTTTCCAGAATATTTTATAATAAACTCATTGCTCATAAATGGAAAAATAAACTTAATCAAAGCATATTTTGGAATAATGTTTTTACTAACTGTAAAATGTGTACCAATGATGTTAAACTGATTGATTTCCAGTACACATTCATAAATAGAGCTCTATACATCAAAAAGGAACGATTGAAAATGAAGTTAATTGATGATGATAAATGCTTATTTTGTGTCTCTGAATCTGAAAACTTGTACCATGTATATATAGGATGTGTTTTTGTAACGGAATTTTGGTTAGAAATTGAAGTGTACCTTAACTCGAAACTTGCATATGATATTCCTATTACCAGTCTAGTTAAATTATTTTCAACTATATAATTGTTTTTGCAAAAAAATGCATTCAACAGCATTTCCTTTCTTCCTACAAAATATTGAAAGATGTATGAAAAATAGAAGAATTCATTGCAATGAAAAATGGCAGTATCAATAAATTTGACAGAAAATGGAAAGAATTATCAGCCTACTTAGCATAATAAACAGTCAATCCAATATATGTATATTACCCATATACTGATCATGTTTTAATGAGCCTTTGCATTGTTCCACTCACATACTGGTACCTCGTGTACACGTATGTTACAGATATATGTCTACTTAATTACTGATTTAAAGATAAGTCCGATAGTACTATATGGGGACATATTTAGGGATTCAGTCAGCTTGATAATCGACCAACCATTTGATATTCTTGTGGGGGGACCTGGGATTTTGTATTGAGACAAGATACTTTTTCAGCCACAGCAGCAAAATTTAAATTTGTTTTAATTAAAACTTTGAGCCAAATTCTTTTTTCTCTGCAAAACATATTGCAACAATGTCATTTTTCTTGCAGACAATTTTCTTTCAACGCAAGGAAGCATAATGAGTTTTTTCAAGAATTTTCGGGTACAATTTTCTTTCTTCGATAAAACCTTATACCACCAATTTGTTCGCATTTGTCAATTATGCGCCCTGAATAACATTGAAGATGAATATTAATTTCTTTTTATAAGTCCATTTCGTTCCATATTAAGATTTAAGTATATCCCTGAATATTACTACGTCAATACCAATTTCTTTAACATTTCTGTTAAACAACTTAGATTGCTTAATTTCACAAAAATCGCCGCTTTATCTTTATAAAGCAATGAGATACAGAGAAAATAAATAGACTCTACTACTCTTAATGTAGTAATTAGCAACGTGATCTTGATAAAATACTATGTATCGCGGGAAATAGGGGAAATAAATATCTCAGCGGGAGAATAAATCCCTTTTACCCCACCACGAAGAACATAGGCTGCATGTGGATTTCAGAGCTGGAGAATAAATCCCATACACCCCACTACAGAGCAAAAAACTGCACGTTGCTTACGAGTCAGTGAAAATCACGAGAGAAGCACATGAGAGAGTTCAATCGAACAGCTGTTTTCCATCAATTTTCTATTTGTTTCAATTCTTTTACAATGGCAGCTTTCAACATGTCCGGCTCGTGGTATAAAACCAAACACGGAACGCATAAAACAACTTATACCCCTCTTGATACTGATACAATATATATTTCATCATATTGTGGACACATGTAGGTTTCTCGGCAGGATAAAGCCAACGTGTAAAAGCGATATCCGTTGGGGTCATATGCGAATGGAGATGAAAATATCAAAGGTCAAGTTAGGGACTACATTCGCCTTGTCATTCGGCGATCCAGTCAGAATTAACCATTGGGAATCTGGAATAATTACTGGCATAATATATTGAAAATCAGTGTCTAACTGTGACGTAGCTAAGGCATTTGACAAGATTCAGAATCTTTGGAGATATAAATTGCGAAACAATTCCAGGACACTAGTCTAGCGGGATCAGTTTCCATATCTGTGCTTGTAGACCACCGCGGCTTTGAACATTTTCCCAAAATTAAAACAGATGGATTTGGCCGAAATATGTCCGAATTGTAACCTTGTCGCTGCGTGTTCATCTGACTGCACTCGTGACGTTATGACAGAACATGCAGACTCCAACAAACATTGCATAGATTAGGGTGAGTGTAGGTTCGCTTTTATAAAGGGCAGTTACTCTAGCCGATGGACTACCGCGAAAGGCAAGTAGAAACAATTTGTGTAGGCAATTGTTGTTTTGCACATATGTTGTTACGCCACTGTACACGAAACAGGTTTAAGTTGGAACTATATTGACTGTTGTCACTCTCCAAATGACGTAATACATATTAATGCGCACATACCAGGAAAACTTGCAATGTTTAGGTTATGTTTGTGAGAGATGGGAAGAGAGATTTCGAGCACATATTTGAAGAAAGACATTAGATAATAAAGTAGGAAATCACGCTTGCAAATGCTCTCAAAATGAATGTTTATTTTTATACAGAACTTTGATCATCCGAACACACTCGCGTGGTAACTTTTATGTTTTTCTCAGTACAAATAAAACGACTATGGACAACAACACTGAGGTGTGAACAACGTCAGACGTCAGCTTCGTGTGGGCGACAAACGTTTCAAGAGAGGAAGTGACCTCCGTCATGGTCTAGAGGTAGAGCATCCGCTAGGAGAGCGCAAGGTCCGGGATTCGATCATACGGGCGCGTCATACCAAAAGACGTAAAAAGATGGTACTTGTTGTTACCCTGCCTGACGCTCGGCATTAAGTGGATAAAACAAGGACTTGTCGGCTCGGAGTCAGTATACAGTTGGGTATTCGTGTTAAGTGCGGTGTGGTATCTCAGTTGGGTAGGACTACAAAATCGACAAGTACAAGCAGCCACACACATTTGCGTGTGATTATGAGGCGTTTTGGGGCTGGATACGTTCATTTTGCACGAACACCTGGTGTCATCACAGTTTGTTATAGTGATTCAAATACACATATGTAATAATCGGAATCGTACAGTGGACTTTTCATTCAGCAGCGATTTATTGCAATCTGATCTTGGTTTTGCCGTTTTTAAAACATACATACTTACCCGGAACCGTATATTTTGATTTTCATGGATACCCAGCTCATTTTCCAATGATTAACTAGTGCTTGTCGACAAGAGATATTTATCATCCAAAACTGGCTCCACAGGAGATATCGGTGAGATACATTTAAGGATTGACTGGAAACCAAACAAAATACACAGTCAATGCTAAAAATTCAATTCGACAACGTAAAACATGTTTTATCTACAATAATTTAACCAAAAAAAGTGATCCTTTAATTTATGCAAATAACTTGACACGCCTACACAGTCAGTAGCCAATCAACGGAGAGTAGGATCAAAACAATGTTCATTGGGCCTGTCAATTAAGGCAAGAGGCGAAAAGAACTGCAACAGTCAGACTGTAACGAACCGGAAGAAATAAGTCCGGGAGAAGGCGGCTGTTTCAAATTACAAGGTCCAAAACCGCCAGATTCAAACATTACTTCCCTGATTACGGTAAAACACAGTTGGAAAAATGCTAGTTAGAAATGAAACCCGAAGACATGAAAGTTGAACCGAGGCGAGCGGGAAAAAACAGGCGAGCGAGCCTGCACGTTTGCTGTTTCATTCATTCTCGGCCTTCGGTTTGCATGAAAGTCGCTAAATGTCCTGTGCATAATGATTCACCTGAGCAGGAAGGAAATTCCCTCGACTGTAATAATGGGATTCTCCGACATTCAGCAGAAATAAAAGTAGTGCGCCTCGGTGGGCGTGGCTTAATTATTTACATAGTTGTGCGTTGTGCTAACTGTCAACTCATGTTCTGAATCCAGGTCAGTGCCAAGTACATCCAAAGCCTACTAAAAATGGTGGTTAGACTCAAAGACTTGGCTTATAGCGTGTCATCGTACAAGGAATCCTTCTTTACCACATGAAGCAACCATTTAAACAAATCAGATCTAAATATTCGATTATTTATTGGTATTATGCACATTTGTAATGAGTATGACATATTGTTGAAAAACATGAAAATATCTAACCTTTAACTATTCCAGTCAATGTTTTGCAAGGCACAGTAAACGCACCTCAATAGAAATGCCACTTTACTGTCGTTTATTCCTTGAAAAGAATTTTCTGATTGATCGCAACTTTTTAGAAATACCCGAGTGCGTCTCTCCTTTATTCCCAGAAATATATTTGTGATGCCGCTTCATGATCTGTTCCAGTACCTGGATGATACTGGTGTCCTTCTCAGCTGAGATCTCTTCGTGCCCATTGTCCCATTCACAGCTGATGTTCAGACCTCGGTACACTCTCTCTGTCTTGTCTACAGAGTCAGCAATGTCTGTCTTGTTGGCCACGAACACGATTGGGACTGAGGGTCCCTCTTGCTGGAGGATCTGGTCCCTGGCTGCCACCACAAAGTCGAAGGAGTCATCACACACCAAGGAGTACACCAACACGTAGGCGTCACAGGAGGGGAGTCTCTGCAGGAAAGGGAACCTCTTCTTTGATGATGTGTCCACAATATCGACTGTCAGACTTCGCCCTTTGATTCCAAGATCACCGTGAGATTTATTATGTTTCTTACTTTTCTTGGGGGCTTGGCTGCTCAGTTCTGTCCAGTGTTTGATGAATCTGCAAACGGTGGTTGACTTCCCCACATTGCCATCTCCAATGACAGCCAGGTTGAAGGTATCTTCTTCTGAACTCGTCCTTGTGTCTGAGTGGAGAGTAAATCTGCGACTCATGGTTAAGGCAGTAATATGGCTTCAACTGTCGTTATTAAATAGTATTCGAAACTATGACGTGACAAGACTATATAACATTCTTTTATAAAGGAGGAAGTGCTTATGTTCCAGTTGTAGACATGTTCCATAACTCTATAAAAAAACTCTCGGCCCTTACTAAGTATGAGTAATGTGTGAATTAACATGTCCTCCACTTTTCTCATTGGCCAAAACAAATGTGTGAACATCTGTTCCACGCTGACATCCAGCGGCACTCCTTACTGTAGGCATGTCAAAGTATTTAAAACATTTTAGAAAAACATATAGAATCCTTTTGATATTTCAATGTTTCTTTGTTTAGCATGTCAAATGTGTATGGATCGATCTTATTTCTGAAACACATTGAGTATGGCAGAATTATGAGAATTCCAGGGCAGAAAAGAAGATAACTGTTGTGAACTGTTTGAAATAAATTGATGTATGTAACAATAGATATTCGAAACATGCACTTGTTTCTTGTTTGATGTGATATGAGCTGTGACAATGAATTTCCGATTCTACAAAATCATTGATACTGACAATGCACCCGGAGATTGCTCACTTGGATCAGTGTATTCACAAAACAAATATTGCCTTAGACTTGTACATAGTTCCACGGGAGCACTGCTGTGACATGGTTATTCACATCTACGTTACCTGATGCTAATATATATTATCGTTTCTTAACACCCACATTTGCTTAACAACATACACAATAATGTTTAGAATGAATATTTTGATCGCGTGTTAGGTCAGTTGAATCACAAAGGTATTTTCATTGGACATGCTTTATGCACTGAACACGTGTTTTGGCTCTTCCCTTCAGAGAATACAAGTATGTGTCTTGAAGCAGTGACAAAATAAAAAAATCAATGTTCAACCCTCTCAACCATGTAGGTGACAAAGTGATACCCTTCCAGCTGTTTTATCCTCTCAATCCTATTGGTTACAAAGACGATAGCCTTCTATCAGCATAATGTCCAAACCCTATACATGACCAAGTGATACTTTGCTACCTGTGTAATTTCATCAACCCTGTACGTGACAATGAAACCCTTTCAACATTAAAACTTCACTCTACCCGTGTAATCCCCTCACTTGTGAACGCGATATGGATTATGGAAGTGGAATACACTACCAACAAACTGGAGGGTAAGCTAGATATTTGAATAGACTTCAGAATTGATAAAATGATTCATCATCTTGTAGAGGAAAATTTCAATGTTAACAGATGGCGAAAGACTTGTTGTTTACTAGTGTGACAGAAAGTGAGGGGGAGAATCTGGAGGTGAAACAACTGAGCACTCAACAGTTCAGTGACATGTACAGTCGTGGGGAAAGGAAGAGTGGAAAGATGAAGCCAATCTTAGTATCTTTCAAGACTATGAAGGATACAGACATTGACTGAAACATATTATTCAAATACCCCTCACTGTGACAGAGAAAGAGAATGTGGATTTCCCCGTCCTCGTGTGAGACAGACCAGCACCCAAGAATCTCACCCAAGCCACACACAAACAGAGAAGACAACAAGGCTTAACTCGAGGAGATGAGGTGAATCCATCTGGATCTAGGGTGGTCATTAAAGTGATCTCCCAGATGCTATAGCAATTTCTTTTATGAATGTTCACGAGCCAGTCAATTTATACTTGACTTTGTGCATTTTATTAAATCATCTAATATAACTCTCCTTGCTGAAACTAAACCAGTTGATTGTGATACCGTTGCCATTCCACACTATACAAAGAACAGAAACCGAAGAACCAGATCTGGTGGCGTTGCTATCATTGTTGAAGATGTTATAGATAGCTTTATCTCACCTCCTATTCAAATACTAGCTTCTGATTGGTTAAGGAGCGTACAATTATTTTCCATGTTCCCTGAAATCAATCGTAACACACCTAAGGTAACTTGCTTATCTCGCATATGTATAATCTGTAATGAATCGATGTTTATGGGAAAGGGAAGTAACTTGTTTCGTTTGCGACATCTACATGCTGTCAACACTGCTCAATCAAGGGTTTATTGCCTGGGTCTGTATGAATAAATGTCGGTGACATAAATTCGTTGTCAAACGGCATAGGGTTTCATACAGCTTTCATAGAAGTACTTTACAAAGTAAGTTATCTTCCTTGTGGTAAAACGGCACCAAGTCCTTTTGTAAATATGACATAAAGACATCCATGCCCACATTGCAAGAACTCTTGGCTGCTTCCCTAACATGATAGTGTAATAGACAGTCCAGGCAGATATCAGGACCATAACAGGCAGACCCAGGGTAACTACGCCCAATGAAGACCCGTATATGCGTACTTTGCATCTCTGGAATCGATTCCTGACAGTGACGTCATCAGTGACGAATGCCTTAGAGCATATGATCACTCGACAGACAGTGGCCAGGCGACTCATGGCTCAATGATTTAGGGCTTACACACCTTGCAGAGGAGAGTTATTGACAGCGCAACATCATCGTCAGAGAATGAGGTAGGCCAGGACTGTACGTCGTTGGCAGCGATGCGATTGGCAGAGGGTCGTCATTCTCATGAAACCGGTTCTATCTGTTCCAAAGTGAAGGAAGACAGCGTGTCTTCCGCAGAAGGGGGGGAACTAATGGCGGCACGATGCGTTGGAAGGTCGTGCCGTATGGTGGAGGGATGTTATAGCGTGGGGAGGAATTAAATTGCAGGAAAGGTCACCACTGGTCATTGGTAACGGAAATTTGACAGCTTAACGATACATAAATGATATTCTTCGCCCGATTGCCCTGCCATTTCTACAACAGATACCATGTGCACGTGGTGTCCTTTATTCGCATGACAACGCCAGATTTCATCTCCCCGATTCATCTCTCATCCAGACTCCCCGAATCGTACAGAACTTCCTTGCAACCAATAACGTCAACGTACTACCGTAGCCCGCACGCTCCCCAGACCCCTCTTTGATGTCATGGATCGTTGGGTTCGACAGCGACCACATCCTCCACTCAACGGAGGCCCTCTAAGAAAAATGGTGACTTATCCCACGTAACGTCATCAGGTAACTGACTGTTTCTGTGCGCCTGGGAGTTTGCATGCTACTTGTAGCAGGGGCTGGTCATTCATATCAATGCGACGTGTAATTAAACTTGAGCAAGTTTAGATGTGTTTGTCCTTTGTCCATTACGTTCAGAGCTTGTTTATGATGCCAGTATTTATGAAACATTTTTTATTTGAAATTTGAGAAAAGTGTTTTTTGCAGAACAATGGTTAACTGTCATAATTAGACCAATTCTTAAAGGGGAAGGAGATTATCAAATTCCGGAAAATTATCGCCCCCTTACTGTCATCAGTTGTTTTAGCAAATTAATCCTTTGTATATTATGTCTCAGACATCAAAGTCTTATTGAAAGTGAAAATATTCTTTCAGAAGCTCAAGCAGGATTTCAGCAAAACATATTTTACTTGTGAACATATATTTACACTACATGGTTTAATTAACTTATCTGAAACAAGGAAAAATAAAATATTTTATTTTTTTATTGATTGACTATGTAATCGCTGTTTGTATCTCAGACAAACCCAGGTTCTCGGTTTGAGTGAAATCAAGTTTTGTTCTGTTAGTTTTGTAAAACCTGCGCAGGCTGGCTTTCAAGCATTTACAGTAAGATTTGTTTTCAAAACATGGACTCAAGCACTACACACATTCCAGTTTTCATGTAGAGTAAAAAAAACCGACAAAACATTTTCCATGACCATAAGAAAGACTTGCACAAATGAGTTGACTATACGATTCCAACTAAGCATGTTTATGAATCACTATGAAATAGTGTTGAAACCATGTGCAAGGGAACTCCGTGATAAAGGTCAGAACATACATGAACCTTTCGATGATTTTTTTACTTAAGCTTCATATAAAAGTAGATGAAGCTTATCCTTCGTGAGCTCCAAGATTTCTTGAAGGTGATTGGAAATGTACCTTCACGCATTGCGAACTAAATACTTTACAGAATAAACATTTAGGTATGTAATAAAAACGATAAATAACAATAGCGTCATTCATTTTTATATGCCATCGTTTCCTGTGATCATTTGAAATACAGACATTTCTCATGGTATTCCAAGCAGTAACGGAGTACGGAGTAGTGAGGAAAAAAGTGTCTTGACGATTCGATGCAGGTCAATTGCAATGTACCCTACCGCCGACCATATCTACAGTCTTTACTCTTCAACTGATGACAGATACCTTCCTTAACCAAATTAGACAATATATTTACAGACAAAATAAGACCTAAATTTTCGATTATTTATTGGTATGACGCCAAAAACTTTGGTGCGTCTCTTCATCATTCTCAAAAACATGTTTGTGATGCTATCATGATCTGTTCCAGCAACTAGATGACACAAAGGACAATTCTCAGCTGATGTTTCAACGAGCCCATTTTCCAATTCACTGTCAGTTCTCTGTAGTGCTTAAAGAGTCAAGAGATAACAGTCGATTTTCCCACTCTTCTTTCCCAAAATAAACCTTAGTTGAAGGTTACTCCTTCTGAACTGCTGCGAACGTCTAACTGGAGAGGAAGTTGTCGTCCCATGTCTAAGGCAACTTTAGACAGTGAGTACAAATGGTTTTATGCCACTTTTAGCAACATTCACATTGATTGATACAGACATTATGCAGGAGACAATATACTCTTAGATAGCAAGTTGATCTTCTACGGTGATGAATCACTCCACATAGAGTTCTGTAATATTTGAATAATGTTCCTTGTACGTGTATTTTCTGGGTCCGTTTCTAATTCTCTTTCTGTCCATTTGTGTGCGTGTATGCAAAATACCTTTTAACCTTTTATTGAGAATCCTATTTGGATTTTCAGACGCCCACACTAAGCAGCAGACGCATGACGCATGACGAGGTTGTTCACACCTGAGTGTTTGTTGTTCACAGTCGTTATTTCCGTACTGTTAAGTAAATTCAAAGCTGTAGCAGTATCACGAGAGGTGTAT